TTCCAATCAATCTGTGGAGTGTTGTCGTTTTGTATAAAGGAGATGGGCTGATAAAATCTGTTGGGCCTGGAAATAGAAGTGGTTCTGGCCCAGGACCCATCATTATCAGTCAAACGGTTTTATAAGGCAAAAAAAAGGTCAACATCATTTTCTCCAAGGAAAATCGAAAAACAGAAGAGAGAGAGAGACTTTGTTACAGAGCATACGAAGAAAGCTTGAGATTCAAAAAAAAAGGTCAACATCATCTTCTCCAAGGAAAATCGAATATAGTTTATGCTTAGATTCGAAATTGCAATCAATCGAACACACCAATTGATCTAGCCGGGTTGGTTAAACAACTAAAAGATACTCTGAATTGAATCTAAATCTCTACACAAACATCTCTGGAAATAGCGAGAAGTGTGACTCGTGATTCGAGAACCCAATCGTATATATCTAGAGGTGGTCCGGACTGGTTAGGTGTCTTATTGAATGCCGAGAGACGAGGGTTATCCCTCAACTAGTCTGCATGAAACAGAGCACAAGTTCATCTCCACGTTTCTCTGTTCTGTCTAAGTTTCTTTCGTCTGTTTCAAACAGATTTATGTAACCACCTTTTGGTGTAATAATGGGCTATTGGGCCTGATTTCACAATAATAAAGAATCCTCTTGTACTACCTCCACGAATTAATTTGCCAATTATAAAATTGGGGAATTAATTTGCGAAATTGTAAAAGAGGGAGAATTAAAATGATGAAATAAACGGCCATTTCACAATCAGAATAATTATAATAAATTTGACATATTTGAGGCATTTTTGTCATTTAATGGCGTCGTTTTCTCGTGCTTTCTTGGCATTTTTCCCACTGGTCAAAGTCTTCGACTTTAGCTAAAACCGTTGATGCCCATAAATTCCCTCGGTGGTCGGCGAGTTTCCGTTACTCTGGACGTTGTTGGATCGTGTGGTAGATTAAGTTTTCAAATTTTGGCTTGAAGCACTTATGCTTAGAATTGTATAAATCGACCATACTTTCTTTGAAATCGCTCATTCGAACGCTTGGATTATGCACTGCGGTATTAGCTATGGATGCAATAGTTATACATTCGAACGCTTGGATTATGCACTGAAACTGTTCGATGAAATGCCTGAACGAGAGATACAGTTTCGTAGAGTGTTTTTAAGTGAGCTTCTTCTATGTTTTTGGATCTTCACCTTGCAGTTTGCTCGTTGTCTATCATAATGGAGCCGCAAGGAAAGCGTTGTATTGGCTTTCTTGGAGAATTCAAAAGCTGGAAACTTTTTTGCATTATTAGAACGTTGGGTGACATATGAGTAGACAAAAATGCAAATTTCAGATCGGTCTTCTAATTGTTCAACACCAAGCTATTGACAGACCCAATACACTTCAAGTGCTGTCTATGATTACTTCAACAACAGATCTTCCAACACCGAAGAAGCCGATATTTGCAGTGCAAACTCTAAACGATGTGTCAGTGTCACAGTCTAAGTCTAAAGATCTTATCTCGGTCAACGAGGTAACACAATCTATGGTCCAAGGAGGATAAGCTCTAATGTGTACTTCAGTGACTGTAAGAATTTGAGATCTCACTCTTTATTGTTGTTAAATACTACAAGTTTTCTTTGACTTGGTCAAAATATTCAAAACTTATTAAGAGTGTCTCATATTGGAATTTGGAAGTAGATATATTTCTAGAGTAATATATAAGTTATATGAGCATTTTCGCAATTGGTTTCGAGGTGGAAGCCCGATTTAAAAAAATGGCATTAGGACTAGATTGACCCGAAGGACGATTTCCCACGTTATATGTGGCTAGTCTTGTAGTGGGTGGAACAAATGATACGTTGTTTCCGACTTCATCTCGAGTGGATTATTAGAATGTTTTGTATTGGAAGTAAAGATATTTCTAGACTAATTTTGTTATTAACCGGGAAAATTAGAGTCATAATGATAACGAAAGTAAGTATTTTGACTTGATGATGCCAATATCGTCTTCTCTTGCGTTATATGCTCCAAATTCCTTTGCTTTGTGGAAAATTGACATTTGAGTAAACCAAAAATGAAAGAGGGAAAAAATAACACGCTATTTTTGTGTGGACAGTTTCTTGTCAAGTTGGTCTATTCTTTCTTTTTTGGTCAATATGCTTTGTTTTAGACTTGTAATATTCAAAGAAGCAAGTCTGAAACCAAGAGTTGTATACTTATTCTTTACTCTTGATCACAATGCTCAGTACTCCATCCACATGAAGTTCTTGTTCATACTCAAGATCTTGTAGAGAAAAATGGGTATGGATTTTTTTACTTGCTTCCTCTTCTTACTAATCATATTCCCAACTTGTGGATATGCAGCTTTAAACACATCAAGTCCTTTGTCAATAGGACAAACTCTGAGTTCCCCTGCTGGATTGTATGAGTTAGGCTTCTTCACTCCTAATACTCGGAATCAATATGTTGGGATCTGGTTCAAGAAAGTTGTTCCTCGGGTATATGTTTGGGTAGCTAACAGAGATACTCCAGTTACGAGCTCTGCAGCAAATCTAACTATCAGCAGCAACGGGAGCTTGATCTTGCTTGATGGAAAACAAGATGTTATTTGGACAACNGGAGAGACTTCNACATCCAACNAATGTCATGCGGAGCTCTTAGACACNGGAAATTTTGTTGTGATTGATGATGTNTCAAGAANAACTTTATGGGAAAGTTTTGAGAATCTTGNTAATACTNTGCTGCCTCAGNCATCGTTGACGTACGATGTTCCTNGTGGCAAGAAGAATNTATTGACTTCATGGAAAAGTAACAGTGATCCATCNCCTGGAGANTTCTCGCTGGAGATTACACCACAAGTCCCTTTACAAGNCCTTATAAGNANNGGNTNAGTGCCTTACTGGAGAACTGGTCCATGGGCAACAACAAGATTCTCTGGGTTAGTACAATTTGATGNATCATATGTNAGTCCATTCAGTGTTNTCCAAGATNTAGCAACCGGNAAAGGATCTNNCACTTNTTCCCTTGTAAGAAACTATAATCTATCGTACGCTACAGTAACACCAGAGGGGCAGATCAAGGTTTACTGGGAGGACGGCACAAAATGGATGCATTTCTTCACGGCTCCAGCAAACTTATGTGATCTATATGGTTCATGTGGGCCTTTTGGTTTGTGTGTNAGATCCAGTACCCCGGGATGCATATGTTTGAGAGGGTTNGTACCAAAGTCCGATGAGGAGTGGAGAAANGGAAATTGGACAAGTGGGTGTGTGAGACGTNCANGATTATCTTGNNAGNCGAATTCTTCGANGAAAACACAAGGAAGANATAAAGACGTCTTCTATCGTATGACCAATGTAAAGACTCCGGATGGGTACCAATCTGCAAGCTTTCTCNATGCAGAAGAGTGCTACCAAGATTGTCTAGGTAACTGTTCTTGCACAGCCTTTGCCNATATTGGTGGAATTGGATGCTTAGNNTGGAATGGGGAGCTTTTAGACACAGTTCAATTTCCGCGTAATGGAGAGATTCTCTCCATCCGTCTTGCAAGTTCGGAATTGGGTAAGGATGATGACGTTTGAAGTTTCAACTTTCTTTATGACGTTTTGTTTAGAGTTTTGTTTTCTTGTGAATATCTCAGCTGGAAGCAATCGAACCAAGATTATTGTAGGTACTAGTGTCAGCCTTTCCGTTTTCGTGATCTTGGCCATTGTCGCATTTATGTGCTGGAGATGCAGAGCAAAACAAAATGGTGAGACACTGACAAAGATAGAAGCTTTATCACTCTGTACTCTTTCCTTTTCCCCTTAATCAAATTTTACACTAATTGGTATAATCTGTTCACTTCTAATACATGCACATTTGTTACTTGTAGGACCAACTCCTGTTGTCTTTGATACTTTACAAGATGCATGGGCGAATGATTTTGCACAACAAGATATCTCAGGCGTAAATTTCTTTGAGATGCATACCATACGGACTGCCACCAATGACTTCAGTTCCTCAAATAAACTTGGTCAAGGTGGATTTGGTCCTGTTTATAAGGTATGGGAC